CACCAGCTGGGTTCATCTAAAAGTTGCTGACGTCATCTTCTTCCCAGCCACAGTGTCTCGAGGTGGCATTGGTGGCGCCTTTTTCGCTGGTGCTGGGACTTCCTTGGTGGATGTCAGGCTGACATGGAGTTTTCCGTGGGGGCAAGTGTCAGAGGCCAAGGAAACAACCAGCATTTCACGGCCTGGTCGGCTTCAAACATATCCAAGGTGTGGTTCCTTCTTACATCTGGGCATTTCCTGAAATGGGGGTACCCCGAAATCATCCATTTTGGGGTATCTCCATCTCTGGAAAATCTCGTCTTTGGTCTCTAAGTTGATGAACCTGCCACCATCTAGTGCTAATAGTGCCACGTGAGCGTCTCGCTGCACTACGGCGGCTGAAAGATCTGGCCCCAGCATGGCCGGTGGTGCCTTCCTCGCTGGGGTCTCCTTGGTCGGCAGGGGGCGTGTTTTGGCAACGCGCCAGTGTTTGGAGTCTGGAGCTTCAAGAACAGCTTTATGCCACTTGAGTCCCCACTTGATGTTCAACAGCTTGTTTGGGTCTATGATCTAGAACCTGACATCAGCATGTCCTCTGCCAGGTGAGGAAAAAGCAAGGTTTCCATTTGCTGCCAGCTGCGGATCAGCATACTGACCAATGAGAGTGGGAAAACACATCCTATTTCATCTGCTACTGACAATGATACTCCACCCAAAAGGCTTCATAATCTGGAGTTGACGTTATCTATGTGCTTGGCGAATCTTACATACCCGGCCCAACTCTGAAACTTTGCCTGCATAGCATGTTCCCCATTCTTTGACTGCAAAAACAATTAAAGCACTTATCTGCCCCAGCAAACTTATCCCCAAATCCAATGGATGACATCATGTTTCCTAAACGGCCATAACTTGTGGGTTACACATTTTGAACACCCACATATCACATATCCTTGATCCTATATCAAGTTGGTGAGTCATCCCATAAAATCCTAACCAGATTCAACCCCATAAATCCCGCCTCGGGCATATCTGTTGGATATGGGGTTGTTGGACCCTATCACAGGTCAAAACATCATCGTAGGCAGAATCATGACTGCTTTTGGTTGGTGGTGGCTGGTCTGACAGATTTGGTTGAAAGCCATGCCTTCAAGATATATCTATCTAGGGGTAATGCAACCTACTGAATTGAAAACATGCAGCTTAAGTACGGCTGCATCAAGTGAATCTCTCGGGCCCGAGTTTCTGGTGGCATCGATGGCATGGATGGAGCCTTCGTTGCAGCGACATCCTTGGAGCGCTGACTTACAAAGCTGGGCAAGTCAAAGCTTCCTACCCAACTCTCCAAGATACTTCTTGCAATACATATGCAAACTTTGCAAGCATGTTCTTCAAATTGCACATACATGCAAAAAAATACGTGTGCACTGTGCCATCTATACACGCATTTTAATGTTACATACATTCATTATATATGTATGACTATATGTACGTACGTATGATATTGACACCACGGAGAAAAACATGGGAACAATCAATCCTTCATAGGAAAACCAGTTGAAAAAAGGGTGACCGCAGACTATGCAAGGCTTAAACCATGTCAGTAGAGTCTGCTCTGATTCTACCCCCGAACTCATCTAACTATTTTCGGGGTCACAGTTTTTTTTTCTGGGTTCTACTTTTCGAAGTGGGAAACTCTGTTAGCTCCAACTGCCCATCGCTCAGCCCACCGCTCCCTCCATAAACACCGGAGTTCCGGCGGAAGTGGAGGCGCTTTCTTCGCCACCGGCGGTGCCAGCTCTGGGGCCTTCTTGGCATCCTGAAGTCATGTTCTCAGATCCGCAACGATACAAAGATCACCAAGACACATGTTGTGTTTTACAAAAACATGTAGGAACTCATATCACTCAAAACACCCATACAATCACACACACACATATATATTTCAATGTATGTATGTATGTATGTATGTATGTATGTATGATATGTATGGTATGTATGGTATGTATGGTATGTATGGTATGTATGGTATGTATGGTATGTATGGTATGTATGGTATGTATGGTATGTATGGTATGTATGGTATGTATGGTATGTATGGTATGTATGGTATGTATGGTATGTATGGTATTTATGGTATGTATGGTATGTATGGTATGTATGGTATGTATGGTATGTATGGTATGTATGGTATGTATGGTATGTATGGTATGTATGGTATGTATGGTATGTATGGTATGTATGGTATGTATGGTATGTATGGTATGTATGGTATGTATGGTATTTATGGTATGTATGGTATGTATGGTATGTATGGTATGTATGGTATGTATGGTATGTATGGTATGTATGGTATGTATGGTATGTATGGTATGAATGGTATGTATGGTATGTATGGTATGTATGGTATGTATGGTATGTATGCACACATGCATGCATGCATGGATGCATGCATGCATGGATGCATGGATGCATTGATGCATGGATGCATGGATGCATGTATGCACGCACGCACGTCCCTGATCCCTTTTGTGAACAATCGTTGGCCGTTGTCGCTGGTTGGTATTTTTCCAAAGGGTATTGAGCTGGGAAACTGCCGTCGGTGGTGGTGCCTTTCTGAGAGCAGCCTGGGCGGGAGATGTTGCCAAACTATGATCTGATTCAGCCAACTACAGCAATGCCGGATTGAAATCTTGGCCCATGCTGGGCTGCCGATTTTGCCATCATATACGATTTTTGTTTCAGAAGGTTTAGAAGAAAGAGAAACAAACTAGGAACTTGTATGGGAAGTATGGAAAACGGCGTTTTGGCCATGGAAACACAAATCTCAATCCGTTGCAATGTAGTATTCCTTTTTTCCTGCCCAAGGGAACACAACTGGTTCACACTTTATCCATCACAAAGTACCGTTGGTTGCCTAGTATTCCAAGATATTTTAACCTTGGACTGGGCCGGACAATATTGGAATATACATCTACAGCATCGATTCCCAGGAAGGTTGCCGATTACTTGCCTGTATGATCCACAGAAATTCTGTCAGAAGTCAGAACTGCGTGCCTCAAAAATGGCTGGTCAAGCCAAATTCTTGGACTTAATCCACCATTGATATCCGCACTTTGAAATCCCATTGTTGTTGATGAAATCCTCCCCTGTGATCCTGTGTTAGTTAAGTCTGCATGTTTGTTGATTTTTATCCACACATTTGTTTGGTAATTTCATTGTTGTTGGTCTTAATCCCGATCCTTGAAGAAGACGTGGTTTGTTTTAGTTTTGGGCATTTATCTATGCACTACCTCAGCGCGGTTTGGTTGGACATCAGTTTTTTCTCGTTTTGTTCGTGTGCCCATCTTGTGTTTGCTATTGCAGTGCTGAGTGCGTTTTACTATTTATAGATAAACAGTCGATAAACCACAACAATATGATAAACAACCATGTAAAGACCATATCCACACCATGTCAAATCGATAAAAACACATAAAAACCAAATATAGAAACCACATTTTTCAAAAACATGTAAAAACAAATGAACAATTATTTAACAACATGTTAGAGATAAAACGACATAAACACCACATAAAACACCTATAAACCCCTTGATTTCCCGAAATCTCTGCCCAAGTCACTTGCGGCACAGGGGTTGGCCCTGGCCCTGGTGGCCCTGGTGGCCCTGGTGGCCCTGGTGGCCGTGGTGGGGGCGCCTTCTTCAAGGAGACCTCCTCAGGTGGACATGGATTTTGCGATGGAAGCCATTGCGAATTTGCATTTGGAGGGCACTTCCAGTTGTAAGCGGGTATAGAACCATAATTATATATAGGGGCTATATCAAGTTATATCCCAACTCTGGAAGTTTATAACGATAGCAATACCCATACAACTTCAACTGCACCCCAAAGTAGAGGATAATGTGGCAAACCAAATGATAAACCTACCTTTTGGGTTTTTAGGGGTTGTTTTTGAAGACCGGCCACTCACAATTATATTGGGGATGGTGTTAATAATCGGGCGTACCACTTTATACCCATGTTTCCAGAGCAAACTCCTAAAGTACCAGAAGGTAGAGATACATAGCCATCTGAAGCAAATAGAAAATGGCATGTTCAATCAATATTCCTGTTCTAGTAAGGTTTGTTTGAAAGTTCCATATTATTCTATCTACTCCAGGATGACTATTTTTGTAGCTGGACAAATTATAAGACTTCACTTCGCTGAAAAGCTCAGCTATCTTAGGATAGTTACCCCAATCCGAACCATCATTCCAGTGATGTCGCAGTGAGGTCGTTAGAATATACATATATATATATATATACATCTACAGATCTCAGATACGTCCTGCACATCTTTACCTGCAACAATTTAAACACCATTAAAAAAACACGTAAAAACAAATAAAATAACGTAGAACCTTGTACAGTACGTATATATATATTATATTATATTATATTATATTATATTATATTATATATATATATAATTATTATATATTAAATACGCAAGCATCAGAAAACACAACGAAAAACGTAAAAATGTAAAATTAATGAAAAACAAAATAAACAAACATAAAAAAAAACACATATACTAAAAACATTTCAAAACACTATAAAAACAAGGCGATATATTTAAAAACCAACATAAAATCTTCAAAAGAAAACGCATAAACGATATTACGACAAAGAAACAACTATGAAATACCATGTAATCAACACTGTGAATCCATTAAACCACATAAAACCATAACATAGTCCATATAAAAACAAGCATAAGCAAGCATATAAGAACCATATAAAAACTACACAAAGACATATAACAACCATATAGCAACCATAAACAAAACATACACATATTATAAAACTATGCAAAACACCATGTAGAAACCATGTATGCATATATATATAACTATATTTAAAGAAACATGTAGAGATCATTAAAAAAATCAAATAAAACACATTAAGCCACAATATAAAACCATTGAACAACGATATAAAAAACAACATGAACAAATCATTAAAAAAACGCGCATTGACCACCTATAGCTCTCCCTGATTTCCCAAAATCTCTGCCCGAGTCACTTTCGGCACAGGGGTTGGCCCTGGCCCTGATAGCCATGATGGCCCTGGTGGTCCTGGTGGGGGGGGCTTCTTCGACACTTCCTCAGCAGGTGGATATTGACTTTGCCATGGAAGCCATGGCCAATTTGCACTCGGAAGCGCGCTTCCAGTTGGAAGAGGATATGCTCTCTGATAGTCAAACACTACCAAAGGGTAAACCCCATTCAATGTAGATATAGTTACCATAAGCATCACAAGCCATAGTTACCATGGGAAAAAATCAACTATAAACCAACTTAGCTACATAGCAAATCCCATTTATATAAACATATCAAGCCCGATTGAACCCCCCATGAAACATTGGAAATGCCAAGGATTTCAACTCATGAACTGCCATCAAGGTGCAGATCGCTCAGCTTCTGCCAGGGATTCCCACTTCTCCACCAGGGGTGCCTCCCGGGGCAGCGCCGGCGCCGGCCCGGGCGCCGTGGGTGCTGCCAAGGCAGCCTTGAAAGACTTGGACGGGGTGACGGAAGCTTCCTGGGGTGGCAGAAGCAGGAGATTTCAGCTGGAAATCGAAACATGTTGAGCCCAACTGTTGAGCTTACCATAGTTTAACAGCCAGACAATCGACAGGGAATTCAGCCATGTGATTGAACCCAGGAACATGCTGGATCATGCTGGATCTAAAACTGCAAAAATCTGGGACTCAAGGAGCCAAGATATAAGTGGTCAACAGTGGAGGTGTTTACGTAACCACGGGCTGATTGGGTTTGTTGGTAGCTGGAGTCTGGAGGGTGTTGGTTGGATCGGGGTCGTTGGATCGGAATCTAGATGGGTCGGATCGGCGCGGCTGGACGGTATAGATCGCAACCTTGCGGGCTACCCCGACCGTCCCGACCATCCCCGACCATCCTGACCGTCCCGACCATCCTGACCATCCCGACCATTTATCCACGGTGTTGATCCAGGATCGTCTTTGACGCTGATTCTGCGACGCTGATCCGAACCTTTGGATGTTGATTCCGGACGCTGCTCGTCTATGACGCTGATAGTTTCTGGCACGGAATTTACTCGGTAGCTGGATGGGCATCCGGATTGGTTTGGCCATCCATTTCTGTAACAACAACCATTTCATTGGGAATCCCAGAGGAAAAACTATGTGCATTGGAATTTCATGTCGATACAATAGCCAGTTGCTCATATAAGTTCTGCAGCCGGGATGTAGCATGAGCTACCCTCCGCTGTCCTCAAACATGGCGCAGGCTAAAAAATCCTCCATTTACTTCGAGGATTTGTTCAACTCTTTGGCTTATCTGCCAAGAGTCTTGATCACAGAATCATGAGAGTTCAACGCGCCAACACAAACCGCCGTTAACCATTGGTTGACCAAACGCAACCCCAAAGACCTAACATCATCCGAGTCATGTATCCCAAAAGCGAACAATATCCCATAATTTGAGCACGCACATTTCTTTGGTTAATATTAGTCATATCATTACTAATGCATCCCTATCATGTAGTATGAGATCTCTCTCCCTGTCTCTCTCATCGCTATCTCGTCGAGTGAGACTCCCATGATGTCACTATTATTTATCACTTATGAATATTGCATTTATAATGGGACTACTATAAATAATAAGGGGAATAATAATAATGGGACTGGTTTATCATATATAATATCACTACTATGTGTGTATATATATATGCTATTTATATGTGTGAATATTATATCCTCCATCCCAGTCATAGTCCTTTGGTCCAGCATCTGGTCTGGCTGGAGCCACTTTGGCTGCAGCCTTCGCTTTGGTTTCTGCCGCTCGTGCTTCGGCCAAGGCTTTAGCCCTCGCTGTTCGGGCATGGGGTGGCCGACCAAAATATCAAACATGGGGCCTGTGGAATGGTACCATTCATCACCATTCTCGCACATAGTTTATTTCTCAGCTAGCGAAACAATATTATATAATATTATATATATATATGTACTATATGTACTAATTATCGAAGGAAGTTTAGAAGTTAAACTTCCGACACTATGGACAGATGAAAGCAGAGCAGGGAAGAGGCAGAGAGAAGAGAAAGAGTAAGAAGAAAGAAGATGCAGGTGCGCGAAAAGGTAGGAAAGTCGCCAAGCACTGTGTTTTTTCGTGGTTTTGTGGCTCCGGAGGGTTGAAACGTAGGCTCGCTAAAGTGGCGGGTGCGGAGCCAGCTGGCGAGATGAGAGATGAAAAAGTGCACGCCGTTGTGGCGCGAAGCAGCACATTTCGAAGTCAAAATGTACAAAACACACTAGCTTCGGACCACTTTTGGAAGTTGAGATGTCGAAAAAGTGCACGCCGTTGTGGCGCGAAGCACATTTTGAAGTCAAAATGTACAAAACACACCATTCTCAGACCACTTTTGGAAGTTGAGATGTTGGAAAAGTGCACGCCGTTGTGGCGCGAAGCACATTTTGAAGTCAAAATGTACAAAACACACCAGCTTCGGACCACTTTTGGAAGTTGAGATGTCGAAAAAGTGCACGCCGTTGTGGCGCGAAGCACATTTTGAAGTCAAAATGTACAAAGCACACCATTCTCAGACCACTTTTGGAAGTTGAGATGTTGGAAAAGTGCACGCCGTTGTGGCGCGAAGCACATTTTGAAGTCAAAATGTACAAAGCACTTGAGATGTCGAAAAAGTGCACGCCGTTGTGGCGCGAAGCACATTTCGAAGTCAAAATGTACAAAACACTAGGGGTTTGGACCACTTTTGGAGGTTCAGATGTCGCTTCGCTTCGATTCGGGTCATTACACTACACTATGCGCTCCACTACACTACAGTACATTACACTACACTACACTCCACAACACTACAACTACAACTACAGAACTACACAACTACACTCCACTACACTCCACTACATTAAATTACAATACACTACGCCACATTACACTACACTCCACTACACTACACTACATTACACTACACTATACACTCCACTACACTACACTACACTATACACTCCACACACTACAGTACATTACACTACGCTACACTCCACAACACTACAACTACAACTACAGAACTACACAACTACACTCCACTACACACCGCTACACTAAATTACACTACACTACATTACACTACACTAGAAAGATCGATAGATAGATAGATACTTAGAAAATAGATAGGTAGGTAAGTAGATAGTCAGAGAAAGAGAGAGAAAGAGTGAGAGAGATCAAGCACCTTTCAGTCCATCAGTGGCTTCGCTCTGCCATCCCGGATTCACAACAACCAAGCTCTCCTATAGGTTTCCTATTTTTGAAACTTCCGCCACCGCCTTGTGCGGTACTACTGGTACTGTAAATATACTATACATGCGTGCATGATCGTGCATGTCAGGTATGTATTTATACAAGTATGATCAAACATGCACTATGTACACACACAGAGGCATACATATAATATATGGCATATACTATCATATACTTGTACCACCACGGCCTCTTCAACCTGGACTTCTTCTAGGGTTCTAAGCTCGATTTTTCTGCATGGATTAAACCAACCCAAAAATGACACCCCAAATAGTACATGATTAAGTTTCACCCTATCCACAATCCCAAACATTATGGGAGGAGGTTGGCCGAGACCAGGGGAAGACACACTAGATGTCCATGAAATCAGTGGCCTCAATTTCTCTTCTCTGTCGGCCAGCCACTCGGAGTAGCTCTGCACATATTTCCAGCCGTTCCTATGCGCCACAAGTTGCAGTCGGGAAATGCACCGGATTTCTTCACTCGCCTACATCACCAAACAAACCAAGGTTGCTGAACGTCGATGAATCAGTTTTTGGATGTCACTTAGCATTTTTTCACTTGTTTGTTAAGTAAAAATTGCAAAAACTTGCAGGAAAACACAGTGTTTCACCATGAAATATAGCATCCTGTAAGTAATATGGTTCCCACATTTTGGCACGTATTGCAGGGCCGCCTCGCAAGTTGTAATCTCATGTAATCTCATTACCCCCTAGCCATTGCACATGGTTGGATTGAAAAACAATGTTTTTATCATTATCAGTCAGATCACCTTGAACTGCATATTAAGGTGTATTTTCGAGCAAAAAGGCTAAATCGTTGATCCTCAAAAGGTGTCAGTTGCAGCTTGTGCTGTGCTGGCAAGTTACTCAACGCAAGAGTCCATGTACTTCCTTAGGACCAGGCATTCGACTGGCTCAATGCCATAAACCTACCATTTGGGGATGGCTTATACCACCAATAAAACTGGTGATTTGGGGGATGGTTTATTTATTATTGGGTTTATCACAGTAATGTTGGAAACCACAGCTTATTCGGCGCTTGGTGTGTACGCATTTGACCCCAAAAGAACGAAGTGTCACAGTGCACATCTCCAAATAAAAAGATGTAAAAAACACCAGCCCGGATGTGGATTTCAACCCGTCCCTTGAACAATCCTAGTCAACTAGACTGATCTTCCACAGTGAAGATGTTTTAAAAAGGTTCATCCACTGGATCATAATCATAGACGAAATGGGAGGGTTTGGCACCAACATCAGAATCAGTAGGCGTCTAAACTGGTTGTTGTTTATAAAAAAGCAAACTAATGCCAAATGTTACTCATCGGCGCTTCTCATCTCATTGTTAGAACCACAATGCCATTGAATCTCCGAAAAAAAAAACTTCCGGGTACATGATCAAACTTTTGTGAAGCAAGTAAACTTTCACCTGTCCAATGCCCATCAATATCTCACATAGGGAGTGCAATCACCAAACCAAGCTCTAGTGAACCTAGTGAATCTAGTGGATTGGATGCCATATGATAACGCGGAAAGACTTTGGATGATTGGAAGTTCCGAAACAGTCCTATCAATTTTCATCCCTCAGCATTGCCACAAGACTGGTATGAGGCTTAATTTTGTACTCCGCGAAGGAAGATGCAGAATACTAAACACAAAACAAAAACTGCGGAGTGCACCCAAAAAATCACCTCCCAGCCATTGGGATCAAAGAAGAACTAGGTTACTAAGCTTTGTTTTTGGTTAAAAACAGAAAAACAAAAAATGCAAACCCCAGCAAGATCGAAGAGCCACTTGCCACTGTTCTATTAGGATCTTACCCTTCTACCTTTTCGGAGGTTTTTGGTCTTCTTGGAGACCTTCATTTTTTGATACCCCAAAAAACTATTAACCCCTAATGGATAGACAAATCACTATCTTGAAAAAAATTGACCCAACAAAAACAGAACAAACAACAGACAAGTCCAACAAGACTATACTTTGACACCCATGCGTTTTTTCGTGGCAAGTCTCACGAATTTGCCACCTGGGACGTGACCCGGTGGACACTGGAAACGCTCCATGATCAGCTCGCGCTGTGGAGGCGACAGGCCTCGGGTCCCCGGTGACTATCGCCATCTGTCAAGACTGCCGTGTGGGCAGCAGGGAGCTTGGGGAGGTATGGATATATATATATATATTATGTAAAGAATGTGATGGTATATATATATAGATACATAGATATATATTATATATTAAATTAATTAAATATACACATATATATATACACACATAATCATTATATATATATATATATTTATTTATATATACATATTTGTTCTCAGGGATACAAAGTAGCAGACACTGCGGCCTATATATTCTAATTTTCAATATGTATATATATATGTATAATTGTCTATATATGGTATCATATGGTCATCTGTGCAAGACATGTTGCTTCTATCCGATGGCCGGTGCACTGTCTTGGTGGCTTGAACTGAACCACAAGTTGATGCCCCAAAATGGGGCGATAGCTAGTCCTATTTGATACCCCGGCCATCTCTGCTTCTTCCAGGGTCTTGGATTCTGACTGATATGTCTCATATGCCCACGTTTCACTTGTTTCACCTTATTGCTGCTTGAATCAACAAATTTGTCGCGTCTATCACTATCCCCAAATCTGTTGGATTCTGTCAAATCTCCTTCCTTGCCGTTTGCTTGCCCAAATATTTAATTTGCGCACATCCCAGTTTTCCACCAACCGTTCCAGTTTTGCTGGTTATATCTGGTTATGCACGTCGTCTCTATAAATCGTGTCAAATCGTACTGTAGCACCGCTAAAAGAAGGTTGAAATAAAAGATTGTCGTGAAAAAATAACTATCTACCTTTTCTGCATCTTTTTTTGGGTCACTATGCTGCATTTTTTTGCTCTTCATCACATCCCATGCCTGGTGGTGCCCCCCAGTTTCATTTGCTGGTTTATAGACCCATTAACATCCATGAACTCTAGACATGCCTACCGTAAACATATGTAAACATCAGTTAGTCATACAATCATACTAGTTATATTTCAAGTGAGCAAAGATAAGTCAACTATAAATCCCCATGTCTTTCTTGGTTAAGTCCCGATCCAAGTTCTGCTGTTTCCAAAGGTACCATAGCAAAAAAGGGTCACCACGCTCCAAGAAACCTTCCAGCTTCACCTTCACCAGGCACCACTCCAGCCCCCATCTCGCTGCAAAGGCCTTTGCCTCAACGAAAAGTCGGGGATGTTTGGGGCTGAACATCTTGAGAACAACCCGCCCAAATGCCATGATTGAATGGGATTTCATGTGGAATTTACGGGGTTTAATGGGGATATACTCAGGATATCATGAGATATATCCTCCTGCAATCAAACATGGATTGCTGGAAAATCCTCCATTTACTTCGAGGATTTTCCCAGCTACAACCTCGATGTAGTTCGGGAAATTCCCAGCTTGCTATGTGTGATTGTTGGAGGGTATTTTGTTACCCTCCGGTGTCATAAACTACAAGTATGATGAAACATGGCTGGAAAATCACTGATCAAAGTGGAAGGACAATTCACCGAACTAAATGTGGGATTGTTTATATATGTATAAACAGAAGTTGATCTACATTTCTGGTGGATATTAGTCTATACCATCGTTTTCCTCATTAAAATGTGTATCTTGGCGGGGCATACGCTTGGTGCAGAATCATTCCTCCATCGTGGGTTCTCTCTGAACCTAAGCCGTGTGAAGCAATCCCATCCTCCTCATAATCAATACCCCAAGATGGGTCAAAACCTATTACCATATTTTGGGAATAAACGCCCATGAACCAGAATATATAAAGCCATATATTTTAGGGCATCATTCGGGTACCAGGGTGTCTCTAATTCTAATTAGGGTGAGGGGGTTGTCAACGATGTCCTTTTGCGGAAACCGTTTTGGTGCCTGCTTGGCAAACCGCATTGGCTGGCCAGCTGGCCCAATGAGAGGGATTATGCAATATGAAGCAACCAGCCAGAGGAAATGGCATCAACAAAACATGAATTTGGGCCTGTGAATCTGGGGACATCAAGATCCCCGAGAACCAAAGGTTCATGGCCGCCAATAGCGCACTACCGGTTTGGATCTGAGTCGTTTCAAGCCGAGGAATTGCACTACGTAGTGATCATCATTTTGGAAGGAGCCTGGATTCAAAACCCCTCATGTCTACACCTGTATCATGATCGGCGTGGCCGTAAACAAAAATAGTTAACTGGTCCAAACATGTCCAAACCAACTGTACGGACTTGCACTGACAGAAATCAATAAGCCAAATCAAACTGTTTCAAACCAGCTATACAATCGGGCCAACTAATTCTCATAATTTCACCACACAAGCCTAGAACCAACATGTTGTCAAAACGAGTTCCTATACTACTAGACTCTACTACTACTTGGCCGTCCATATTGAAACTAGGAGTTATGAGTCCACCCATGAGGACAAAAACATAAAGACCTGAAACATTCCACGTCGCCAGGATTTTCGAAGTCAAAGTTCGCCCTTAACAACCAATTAATTCCATATATGCGAATCTCCATTACTCTCCACTATTTTATTAATCATCTCTCAGTTCCCCCGCCTCCTCCTCCTGCTGCAAGGGCCACGCATTCTCCGTCTTCGCCGGCGGCGGCGCCGCCTTCGCCGGCGCCGGCTTCGCCTTCGGCCGCGGCGGCACCACCGGTGTTGGCGCCAACTGCTTGGGCTTCGGCGCGGCGGGCGACTTCGGGGCCGCGGAGGCTGCAAACCTCGCCGGCTGGGAAGGTGGTGATCTCAGTGATTTCCCCAAGGAAAATTGGGTGCAGTAGGATGTGTTACAACAAAAATGAGAAGTTAAGCAACAAGAAAACGATTAAAAAAACAACGGTTTCATCAGCAAAACACGGCATGCAGCAGCATTGTTACGGTAGAATGATAGAATGCCTAATTTAGAGAAGGCTTTGGCATGTTCTGGGGGGCTAGGCGTCGGCCATGCGTGGCTGCATTTCTCGGCAAAAATGAACAAGCAAATGATGACCCCCTTCCAGTTGTCAGCAACTAGCTTCACAGGGCAAATGTCACATACCAATATATGCCTGACAAAGAAAAAGTTACTTGGGTTTTAAATAGGACTGTAGCAACTGACAAATAGCAGGGGCCCATTCTTGCGATGTAACCCCTTCCTAAGGGGCTTGCAAAGCCTGAGGCATCGCTGAAAAGAACAACTCAATATGCTTAATCACTGAACCCCTTGTTGGTGCCCCCCAGCAAGATGCCATGACACATTGTTGAAAAATCTTGAAAACTAAGGTGGGGCCTCAAAAAACAAATATGTTCACCTCTGGAAAATCACCATCCAAACCACATTCAAATGGCTAGTTTCAACATGATTCAGCTATATTTTTTTTCCCGGAGGGTCAGCTGTCTCTCTGACCCCCGGAGCTGCTGCCTGGCAGTCATCTCTTGAAACTCCGCTTTGCTCTTGCACTGCTCCATGTGTTTCTCCAGATCTTTGGCCGGTCCCGTCCAAACGCATCGGATCTTATCGTCGGCTGCGTTGGGGCACAGCACCTCCCTCCTAAGAAGAAACATGGCAAGCAGGGAAATCCCCTACAAATGAAGGTTTTTTAATCTTATCTGAGTGAAACACGGATATCTATGAATTGGTGATGATTGCCATGTTGGGTCACTAGAGGATATATAAAGGATTATAAAATTATATATAAGTGAACGCTACTGGAAACATATCTTACTATATATATATATAGTATATCAACCATCCCCAGCCAAGCAGCTCAGGACATTCGTGATCTTTATGCACTTGGCGTTTTCCATAGGTCGTTGTCCCCTTGCAGACCTCACATTGCACAGGTCGACCATCGCACTCCGACCTTGGAGGCGTTGGTATTCAATGTTGGGGGCAACCATTTCAACATGAACTGCCTGTGGGGACCACCACAAAACTGAAAGAAGCCCATGTTCTAACAATATGTTCTACCACATGTTCAAACATGTTCAAACAATTTGAAAATATCTGAAGATGTTAGAGGTTATGGTGAATGTTTGAGGAAGTTGCATCATGGAAATATCTAGAAATATTGCATTCCACCCTTGGCCCAAGGACCTTCGCGAGCGCATCGCCACATATGGAAGATGTGTGAAGATTGGCTGGTTGGGGGCCCTTCCCCTTGATACAGTGTTGGGCACTTTGAGGGACATCAAGAGACCTTGGTTTAGTGGCGGATCTATTCGTGTTGCTATCCCAAATCAAGGGGGTGAACGGGATTCATGTCTCTGTATCTTATAATTTTTGCTAGGGCTTCCAAAGGGTTTGCCCGAGGCCGTTTCATGTATATTTAAATATAGCTAACACTTACAGATATTTCCCATGATCTCCTCACTTGCTCATGTGGACTTTTAAGTGCATTTTTCCCCAACTGCGAAAAGCATGATAAAATATGATGAAACATCACCCAAACCTTTGGTGCCCATCACTGCAAACCGTGGTTTAGTCATCTTGCCCTCCAAGCGGCTTCCGATGCTCTTCCAAGTTCTTCCAGCGCATCCTGCCTTGGCAGTCAGGGCATTCCACCGAGCGCATCGGACAGTCCTGCCAGCAGAATCAGCTGCAGCACGGAGGGAAACCAACCGCACCAACTTGCCCCGAAGCGACAAGAGCTTTTAGAACAGGTTGCAACCAACAACAAAAAATATACGGTTGTCCTCGTCGTCCGGGACGTCAGTAGAAGCATCGGAACATGGACTAGCATCAGCATTCCTCTTCACTTTTCGACAATCAATGTATCGTCTTCCATGTACATCGTCATCATCGACTATGTCGTACAAATCAAGATACGTACTTGTACATGTGATAGGTAAGGTAATTTTGTTCTTCACAACTTCACCAACACCTGTATCGGATTTCTTTGACTTTGAATGAGAGTCATCCTTCTTACTTTCATCACCACCCTCATCGTCCTTGGACTTTGGCTCGTCCTTGTCTTTCTTTGAATCTTTCTTCTCCTTCTTCGTTGCCTTCTTCTTCTTTTCTTCGACCAATCTTTTGGCTTTGTCATCGGCCTCTTTCTTCTCCAACTTCTTCTTCTCGGCTTTGAGGATGGTATTCCGGTCAGATTGAGAGAGTTTGCGCCATTCTTCAGGAGAATAGGTTCCTTTGGGACGCAATGACGTCCTGAACATTCGTCTACCATCATCTCCAATCTTGTATGGGTAACCCTTGACGTTCAACTTGACCTTCTCACCATCGTCATTGAGGTATACCTTCCCATCTCCAGCTTTGCCCTTCTTCCAATGGTCTGGTTGGGCGTCGATCAATTCCTGGAGGGTCATCTCTTCTGGATCTTTGTCTTTGTCGAAGATATCCTCAGGGTCATCAAGAGGCTTCTTTGAGACTTTTCCACCACTTGGTCCAGGTCCACCGTCGTCTCCGTCATCAAGCTCATCATCATCTTCATCTTGGTCATGTTCTTCGTCATCTCCATGAGGCACTTTGGAGGGATCGCCATCGAGGATTTCTCTTTCTTTCATTCCTTCCAATGTGGTGTTCACCCTCTCATATTCCTGCTTGCATGGAAATGTCAATGGAGTGACCATCTCGATCTTTTCAGTCAAATGAGGTTTGAGAAGACGGTGTTCAGGTTTGCTAGCATCGTCACCAAGATTTTGATGTACGAATTCACTCAGAGGCCATACTTTGTATTGTCTTGACCAATGCATCCCTGGACCAATGTGATACCCTGCAAACACTCCTGGAATAGAATCAGGCCCAAACTTGTGAAGTTGTCCCGCTTCTCTGGTCTTCGGAGGCTTGTAGTTCACACGAGCACCATAGGGAATGAGTTTGCCAGCAAATTCAGATCCATGGAGTTTGCACCAAGCGCTCAATTCATCATCGTTGGGTTCCACGTTGAGTAGATGACATACACAAAGGATTGCTGTTCTCCAGAAACAAGGTGGTAATCCAGCTTCCAAAAGGCATGTAGAAGTAGCTGTGAGAATAAATTGGTTCGTCCTTTCGGCAATTGAGTTGGTTTGAGGTCTTCCAGGCAACGAATGATCAATTGGTATCTTCATCTCATTCATAGCTTCAATGAATTGAGGAGCATGATCAGAGTAGGCCTGTCTGACCTTCTTGGCGCCGATGAACTGTTTCACTGCTCTGACTACATCATCTTTGGTCATTCGATCAGATGGATAAGCACCAATGATTCCTGTATAACAGTCTCTGACAACCAACACTTCCTTCTCGAGGACCAACACGTCATCATGGACTTTGGATGTGTCCACCGCATCAAAGGTAATGAGGTCGCCAAACTTCTTGAGTTCCCTCTTGTATGCACCACGACGAGTCTTGAAGTGCTTCATCTTTGCTCGAATGCATGAGTCGCAATATGGATTCTTGTATCTGTGGGTCAACTTGTGATTCAAGCTATTAGCTTCTCTCTTGAGTGTTCCTCTTTTGGCTACCCTGGACTCACCCTCGACCACATCGATCTCAATGTCATCTTCATCACCTTCAGCGGCATCTTCAGGAGCACCATGACTGTCATCTTCAAGGTCAGTCTCGTCCCCAGGAGGATCGCCAAGCGGAGTTCCTGGTTCATACTCGCCGCCCTCAGGAGGTTCCTCTTCTTCTTCTCCAGGAGTTGCCGAATGTTTCTGCCGGTTCATTGCTCTTCTCTTCTTCTTCACCTTGAGCTTCTTGACATATCGGGAACAGTTGTGATCCTCAGTTGATGTCTCAAGACCACTTTCTCCATCGAGATGTACTCTTCGTGAGGGTTGACCAACATCATCAATGTCGTTGAAATCATTGAATCCAACTTGGGGATGTGTCAATAGGTCATGGATCTTCGATGCATGATGACATTCATGAGGAGTGCATTCGTAAGTTCCAAGATCAACATAGGGGATGTTGTCATGGATTGTCAAATCGATGCGTTCTCCATTCTTCGTAATCATGAAAGGCATTTGACCAGATGGCCATACAAAGGAGTATCCTTCTTCCATGCATCGTTTCCCAAGAGACATCACGGACGGAGTGTCGTCCAGTACATAGGCGTGAGAGGTCACGTCAAAGGTTCCCAGGTCAATCTCTGCTTCCGTCTGAGTAGCAGTTGAACCGTTGGCTGTGTGGAACATGATAGGATCACAAGTTCGCTGCTTCAAGTTCATCCTTTCGGCTTTCCTTGCAGAAATCAGATCGTGTCCGCTGCCAGAATCCAGGATGAATCTACGATCTTTGGCTTGCACTGGTAGTGAAATGCACATTATGTTCTTGGACTTCATGAGGGAGTTTCCAACTTCATGCTCAACAAGCTCTTCAATAAAAATCAAGTCATCACGACCATTGTCCAGTTTGATCAACATGTCGAACTTGGGGCCAATAATGATTCTAACTTCATCAACAAAACGATGGAGTCCACATCTGTCCATGATGATAGCCTTTGCCCGTGCTCGGACTGAACCGAGGGTGTTGTCGGACTTGGACTGATCGTCGGTCAAATCATCGACTTTCCAGAAGACATACTGCTTGTTGGGGTCACGATACATACGTTTGGGTAGTCCCTCCTGGTAGTCCTCAATGGCGATCTCGTGCAGTTCAGGTTCCAGATCAAATGAGATCCTGCGATCATCAGAAGACTTCTTTGCGCTGGCTATCCTCAGTGAGGTATAATTCATAGAATCTTCATTGTCGCTATCAAAGAAGGAATCAATGGTAATGGGAGTTGCTTTCTTCTTTGGTGTCTTCTTGCTGGTTCTTTCTGAAGATGCTGAAGGCGATTGATCTGCATGTAGGAATTTACATTTGCTTCCAAACGTGCAGGTACCCTTTTGCCAATTCCAACATACCTTCTTTTTGGGTCCAGCTGAAGATGAACTTCCTCTACCTTTCCCTCTTGATGAATCTCGACTTCCGCTTCTGCCTTTCTTACCTTTCATCTTGGCATCATAGACCTTCTGAGAATGACTGTAAAGACATTTGTCACCTTTGTTGCATCCTCCTTTATTGAAGAAGTAGTTACAGAAAATCTTCTTCTTGTCAACGGGTGAAGATGATCTTCCCTTCCCACCTTTGCCTTTCTTGTTGTTCTTGTCGGCATGGGATTTCGGAGAAGGTGTAGGAAGTACCGATGCAGCTTCACTCTTCGCTTTCGCCTTAGGACGTTTGGGAGGATCACCTGTAGACGATGCAGCTGCTTCATTCTCCTTCTTGGTCTTGACGGGAGCGGCAGGCTTGTCTGCATCTTCTAAGGCAGGTGTCGTCTTGTTAGAGGACAATGACAGTTTCACTGCACGTTCTCTATCTTTCAACAGTCGTTCTTGCTTCCCTCGTGCTATGTATCCCTTGATCATACCAGTTAGGTAAGCATAGGTCTTCTCATGATGCCCTTCATCAAAGGTTTTGTATCGGTTGATATCGAAGGCCATAAGTTTTGAATGTTCAATCTTCCGGAACAATGTGTCACGCAGGGAATTGTTGGAAGGCAGATCGTCATGTTTCATATTGTATACGATGTCAAGCCACTTGTTGTAGAAGGCCTCAAGTTGGTCATCTCCATAGTAGTTGAACATATACAAATGATGGGCATTGTAGAGAACTTCAGTGTGGTCAGGTGACTTGAAGCTAATCAATATCATTGCAAATAGTTCGTCCCTTGATGAAGTCCCCACTTCTCCCATACAATTGGTTCTTCATGGACATGTCATACTTCACTTGCATGGACTTGTCCCCAGCATTGTCAATGACTTTTCTCAAGGCATTGGAGAGCTTGGCATCAATGGATTGGAATCTTACATCAGGAGCTTTGGCCAGCGTCTCCAAGTCAGGTTGATCTGCAAGACACGGAGCAAGCCACGCTTTCCAATCTTCATAGTTTCGATCTCCACTTGCAACGCAAACTTCATGAACGACACTTCCCTTCCAGGATGAAAGTTCAGTGGTCTTAGGCCAGGGTTGGAGGCTGATCTTTTCGGCTTCTCTTAGAGATACGGATGACTTGGATCTATCCCTTTCAAGGTTCTCCAACTCCCTGACATTGGTGTTGTACTCGTTCCTGAGCTTCTCGAAGGCTTCAGCTTCTGCTCGGTATTCCTGCTCTTCATCATTGGCACGATCTTCAGCTTGAGAGAAATTGTTCTTGTAGTAATCTTTCCGATCTTCCATCTTCTTCAACTCATCTTGAAGATTTCGAACTTCATTGTTCTTCTCTTGCTTCATCTCGTCCAACTCTGCTTTCAGTTTAGCACACTTCTCTTCACATTCATTCCGAGGCATAGCAGTACTGGGGTACCCATGTAACGTAGTCGGTCTATTCTTTGATGAAGAAGAATGAGCTTGGTTTTCCAATTTCAGGGCTGCAATGGTACTCGTCATTTCTTCTACCTCAGCGTAACGCTCATTGGCCAGTTGATGCATCTCGGTCAAATGGCTTTCGGGAATGGAATAGTCAGTCGCACCTTTGATCACGAGTCTTCTGTCGTTCAACATCTTGATGGACTTACCTGCATCCCTGTGAGCACGCTCAAGAGAGTCCTTTTGGGCTTCAAGTTCAGTATGAAGGCGAGCAATAGCTGTAT